CATGTCACAGGGAAATGTCACCAACTTTTGCACAGTCAAAAACCTATACATGAAGTTGATGAAACTCGTTGATTCTTAAGATCCCACCATTTCAGATCCTCTCAAAGCTCCACAAGTCATTCAGAACCAACAAATCCTTTGGGATGGTGGATCATTTTTTGTCACCGAGATCATATCAGTTCTAATCACGGTGACATTCATAATTTAGTTTCTCCAAAAGTATGCATATTACATCGATAGAGATACATCAATGCTACTCTTCCCCCCTCAAGATTTCCCAAATTGGTATGAATGCCTGGTTGCCAATCGATATCAGAACGTGCCCTTGTTCCTAACTCCAACATTAATCCTAATCAGGGCCATGAAAACACCACATGTAAATAAGCTCAAACTTGAGTTGCTAGTTATCATCATCATCAAAGCTTAATGTGAATTTTCACCATCGAATGCAATCATCAATGTGCACCACATGAGTATCTGCAAAGGAAGAAGCGGTAATTTGAATGAGATTATCAGTTCAACGAAGTTAACTTTCATCCATTCGAAAAAAAAGAACTCGACATTCAAAGAAACAAATGCATAAAGCACGGAATGTTTATGCTGGATTGACCTCAAAATTGTTGATAAAGAGTATCAATTTGTGTTCCTTTTAACCTGAAGCAAAAGCTAGAAAAAATTTGAACCACTCATAAAAATCTTAATGAGACAATAGCCAGTTACAGAAAGAATCATTCAAATTGTTCAGTATGACTTGTAAATCTTAACCTAAAAGCATACATCAATAACCATTAACTTGCACAGATTAGTAATGGAATAGATTGTCAGATTCATGGTTCAGCCATTTGCGATAGATATGTCTCGGAAATGTGTTGTTCAGAACATGTAGATCATGGTAAATGTTTGATATGATGATTATCATCCTGTCTATGTGCCAGTCCATAAGACATTCATAATGAAAGCAAGTGCACACATGTTCACAATCATGCACATGTTGATACCGTAGACCCAGGTCACATGCATAGGTGTACGTGCAAGTGCATGCACACACATTTGGTGATTCTACAAAAAGACAGCAAGATGAATATCTTGTTGTTAACTACCCAATAGCAAGCAACCCCAACATTCATCTTGATTTAATTAAATGTCCAAATCTAAGTATATGAGGAAAATGGTTGATTTGGAAACGTCCAATTCATGAATCACACTGTCCCAATATAGACAATTTTAGAAAGATGTTATCCGTTTTAGGAACACTTTGTGTGGTAGCAAAATGATTATGCAGACAAATGATGTCTTAAAGGAAGTTACAAGTTATGCCAACTATATTCATGACAAACAGTGTGGAACGAACTATATATCCATTGAATTCTGTGTTGGATAATATAACGATCTAGACATGAATAATTGAACTAGAAATTCAGATTAAAATTACCGTTCACCGACGAAAATAATGGAAGTCTTCTCCTCTCTCCTCCCGTAGCCAATGATGGGAATTCCGTTCACCGACGAAAATAATGGAAGTCTTCTCCTCTCTCCTCCCGTAGCCAATGATGGGAATTAGGTCTCTTTTCTTCTCCTCCCGTAGCCAATGATGGGAATTAGGTCTCTTTTCTGCATACGGTTGAGAGGAGGGACTCCCACCTTTTATATAGATATTTGTGATTAACCCTACCCATCATGGTTTAATCACAACCATGAGATTACACTCCGATCGATCCTATCCTTTAGATATTCAAGATAATCACTCAACTTGATAAACATGAAACTTGTCTAACCAGACCATGTGGTTAGCATCCTGTTCCTAACTTGAATCGATGGCAACTTTAAATCAAATCCAAAATCGAGTAGGTTGGGCCAAATGGGTTCGTTAGATTAATCGAACCCAACAATCTCCCACTTGGCACAACATACCTCATTTTAATTTTCAAAAAATATTTAAATTTTCAAAACTTTTAAAGTCGGGTGCGCACCCATTTATTTTAGAAAACAACTTGTTGCCATGATTCTAATTAGGATAGTTTCCGAAACCTTTTCCTTAAAACAAAAATGCCACTAATGGTTGATCGTGAAAACACTATATGCTCTAATATGGCACAAGGTCACTCCACGGTCCAACCGCTAGCACCGCTAATGTTCTAAAGACATTTTCCTTATGGTGGTTTTAGTGGAGTGTAATAGAGCCGTACATCCCTTATGGTCAAATCCGATGTACGCCCTTAAGTGTCCTCTGCAACATACACAAACATGTATGCCGTTCTAAAACTTTTACCAGCATCCGCCATGTGAAAATCATCACCTTTAGTCCAGAACGAAAGCCTCAAATATGATGCCCAATCATATTCAGCTTCCGCACAAATTTAAGAGTCTCTTTACTTTAACCTTTATGACTCTATGGACCACTATCTTTAATTCGAGTTTCTTTACGATTAACTTGAAACTCTTTACTTTAAACTTTAGTTTTCTTTACTTTAAAAAATATGTATCAAGCAACAATGACCAATAACACAATGCTTGAAAAATATCAAACTGCTAATATAAAAATCAGCACAATAGTTTCTTTATGAGCTCAAAGCAATCCAGAATATAGTACTTGAAAATAAAACAAAACTACCATGACAACTAAATCTCACTGATCATATAGAATCGAAAGACTCTAAAACACCAATACTGGATACATGTTCCTTGAAGAGCCCTGGAGAAATTCCCTTGGTCAAAGGATCAGCAATCAACAACTAAGTCGGCAGATGAGGAACCTCAATCAATCCTTGTTCGATCTTATCAAGGACTAACAAGTATTTCACAATATAAATTTACTGGTCTCTGAATGGAATCCACTACCTTTAGTTTATTGATAAAATTCTTGAGCCAAGAGGCACACAATATTGCTTCAAAAATAGCAACATACTCTGCCTCCATGGTGGATGTCGTCACTAAGGACTGCTTGGCACTTTTCCAGGAAACTGCTCCTCCAGCGAGCATAAATATATAACCTGATGTTGATTTTCTGCTATCAGCACATCCTGTGAAATCTGAATCTGAATAACCAACTTCTAGATTTTTTTTAGACCTTCTGTAGACCAACATGAAATCCTTGGTCTTCTGCAAATACCGCAAAGCCTTCTTTACAGTTTTCCAATGAGCTACACCAAGATTTTGCTGAAACCTGCCTAATATTCCCACGATATAACTGATGTCTGGCCTGATGCATGACACCACATACATTAGACTGCCAACTACAGAGACATACTCCTCAGAGTTCACGAGCCTACGCTCAACTTTATTTCGTGGGCAATGAAATTTGTTGAACATATATCCTTTGACAACTGGGGCTTCACCTGGTGCACAAAACTTTATTTCATATCGCTGAAGGTTTTTTCTCAATATAAGCCTTTTGAGATAAGGCCAACAAGACTTTACTTCTATCTCTATGGATCTTGATGCCCAAAATATAATGAGCATCTCTGAGGTCTTTCATATCAAAATGCCTCGAAAGAAAAACTTTAGTCTCATGTAGGAGATAAATATCGCTGCTGGCAAGCAATATATAATCTACATACAATACTAGAATGAGAAATCAGCTCCCACTGATTTTGAGGTATATGCAGCGATCGACAGGGTTTTCTCGGAAGCCATATGACTCATCATGTTGCGAGCAACATCTTGATAAGTACGATTTCTTCTTTCAGCTACTCCATTTTGCTGCGGAGAACTTGGGAGAGTATACTGAGGAACAATGCCTTGTGACCATGATATGTGTCGTCCTGATCGCTTTTACTATAGAATTCTCCACCTCGATCAGAACACACATATTTAATCTTTCTTTCTAACTATTTTTTTTAACTTCAACTTGAAAGATCTTGAAAACATCCAGTGCCTCATATTTGTGGTGAAGACAAAAAAAATGGGCATAGCGCGAAAAATTATCTATGAAGGAGATGAAGAATCGCTAACCACTATGAGAGAGAATGGGAAGGTCCACAAATATCTGTATGAATGAGGTCAAGGAGACATTCACTCTTGGAGGCTTCAAATTTTCTCAATTTAGTCATCTTTCCCTTGATACAGTCAACACATGTACAAAATTAGAGAAATCTAACTGTTCAAGAACACCAGATTATACTAAGGATTCCAGTCACTTTCTTGAAGCATGTCCCAATCTCCGATGCCAAAGTATGGAAGAATTACTTTTAAGCCTAGGACGCTTTTTACCAGAAGAAAATGAATTCACAGACATACAGAGAAGGGAAGGAAAAGATGTATCTAAATATAATCTATAAAGACCGTCATTTAAGAAACCATGTATGATAACATCCAAACCATTTCTAATAGAAACAAAACTATTCTCTAAAACAAAACTATAACCAGATTCAGAAAATCTAGAAAAGAAATAAGCTTCTCATAGAAGGTACATAGAAAGCGTCTGATAAAACTAAAGAAACTCCAGAATCCAAGCGCATACTGAAAATCCCAACGAGCTCCACCTCCAAGGGCTGTGAGTTTCCCAAAAACAGCTGCTCATTTGCCCTTGCCTTCCGACTGTGGATTATTCTCTTCCTTTTTCTTCAGCCATTGCTTATACTTCAGACAGTCTCTCTTCATATGACCAGGTTTCTTACAGAAGAAACATTCAACCCTTTCACTTGCTGAAGAAGTGCTAGAAATAGTTGAAATATTGCCGAAAGATTTCTTCCCCTTATTGTGCCCTTGATACTTGAAGGATTTCTTTCCTGCCTTATTTGGTCCAAGCTTGCCATGTGCTAGATTTGTCATCTCAGCTTTTTCTTTCAAAATGTGCTGCCGAACATCACCACTTCCATCATATTTCAGATTAATGAGTTTGACTAGATAATTGTCCTATCTTGCTCTAACGGATCCCTCAAACTGCTTCTTGATGGTCTCAAGCAACTCCTTAGCAGTTTCGCAAGCCGGAATCCCTCCACTAATAGTCTGGTTCACCGATGCTCTAATGATCAGCATTGCAAGCTTATTGGCTTTGACCCACTTAGCATGAGATTTCTTTTCAGATTGACTTGATGACTCATCGGGCTCTTCTGGCTTATCTTCAGTGAGAACATAGTCGTAGTCAAGACACTCAAGTACTATTTCAACTTGCATCTTCCAGTTGCCATAGTTAGAACCGGTTAGGGGCTCAATCCTAGTCAGATGCTTCTGGATAAATTGTCCGTCCATCTGCATTACACCATAGACGTATAAATCAAATGAGACCTTCAATTTTATTAACTTTAATATTTCCACATCCAATTTAGGGTTAGAATGGATGGGTCAGAATGTTTTACGTATGCAACCTTCCACTCTGCGGGACAGGCGGGTGCATCATCTCATCACACCTTTGGGCAAGTGATTTGATATGCTATTCGCCCCCTAAATGTGATATATAATCACCTACAGAACTAGCCTACACAGTATCAGTTTGATTTGAACACTTCCTAACCTTTGGGCAATAGGGTTATTCTCCTCTCACTGACATGTTTCAACTATCCTGCACCACTTATCCTGTAGGGGATTTTCTAGACACCTTTGGGCAAGACTAGTAGTCCACCCACAGATAAGTGCAACCTACCAGTTCAAATGAGACTAAACTCAACCTTAGAAAATTAGGGTATTATAGGTTGGTCACCTTTGGGCAAAACACTAACCTACTCTACCATAATTTCTAAGTGACTGTTTTACTGATCTTCCTTAACCCTATAGGTTGATCTAATACTTCAATCCATTTTATTATGAACCCAAATATTTACCCCACCTGAATTAAGGATATAATCAGAGTAAATCAATTATCTTTATGTGCATACAATAAACTTTATGAATTGTCCAAATTCCTTATTAAAACTTTATGAAATGAAAATAAAAACTGTATAGTTAAAAAGCACACAGAATGATCTTTCCAACGATTATTTATGGGCTCAAAACGGACTTAAAACGGATCTATAGCGACCAAAACAAAATGAATGATCAAAACTGTAATGGGTCGGGTCTGGAAATTAATGGGTGACCCATTTCATAATAGGTTGGGTTAGAATTTGATGGATCCAATCTATTACTGTAGCGGGTCGGGTCCAAAACATACTGGATCGGGTTTTCCTTAATGGGTTATAGAGTTATATAACAAAATTAATAAATAATAGTTAATTATACTAATTAATCTAATTATTTATTTAATAAATAAATTAATTAATTATAACCCTAATTAAAACCCTAACCCTACAGACCCGGCCCTCCGCCGCCGGCCGCATTCCCGCCGCCGCACCGCCATCCTTAACGATTTCAACGATTCGATGGCCGCAACAAAGTTTAAATCATGGCCATGGCTACAGTATATATATTCTAGAATTTTTTTTTTATCTGGAAAAGCTCTGCAGCCATGGCCATGGCTGCTTTCTTTCCTTTTTTTTAATCACAAACCCATGCCTGCTCACGGAAGAATTAATTCTGTTGGCCATGATTTTTTAATCACAACCCACGGAGAATTTTTTTTTAGCAGTTTGACGGCAAACCCGTTCACGTTGAGAATAAAAAAAAAATTTATAATCACAATTTTCAACGTTTTGCATCAACCATGACCATGGCAAACAAAACACAGCCTCATAATCACAACGACTTGACGACAAACAAAAGAAAACTAAGAAGCAATGGCCATGGCTGCTGAAAACGTTGATTTTTTTAATTAATCCGAAAATAAAAACTTTAATTTTAGATCAAAATTCATGCACAAACTTTGCTCTGATACCACTGTTGGATAATATAACGATCTAGACATGAATAATTGAACTAGAAATTCAGATTAAAGTTACCGTTCACCGACGAAAATAATGGAAGTCTTCTCCTCTCTCCTCCCGTAGCCAATGATGGGAATTAGGTCTCTTTTCTGCATACGGTTGAGAGGAGGGACTCCCACCCTTTATATAGATATTTGTGATTAACCCTACCCATCATGGTTTAATCACAACCGTGGGATTACACTCCGATCGATCCTATCCTTTAGATATTCAAGATAACCACCCAACTTGATAAACATGAAACTTGTCTAACCAGACCATATGGTTAGCATCCTGTTCCTAACTTGAATCGATGGCAACTTTAAATCAAATCCAAAATCGAGTAGGTTGGGCCAAATGGGTTCGTTAGATTAATCGAACCCAACATTCTGTACTACAAACCAAAAACAGTACTAAATGTTATGATAGAATGACTAAAATGAAGGAGACAAGGTAAAGCTACTGATATTAGTTTCCATTTCAAGTAACAACTCATACCAATGGAATCAAGTTCTTCTATTATATAAAGAAACAAACAATGTGATGTGAACTGGAACATTGAATCCAAAATATGTATCAACTGCCTGAAATTGAATCATGATAACGATAGACAGAACGGAAAGCTACCCCTGTTGGGTTCGTTCTTCCAGTAGCAACAAAGGTACCAAATCACCAATTATATATCAAGAGGTACTGAATATAGACCTTATTGTTGAAAATCCAAATATATTTATTTTCTTCCATTTCTTCTCCCTTTCCAAGTGATTTATATCTGCAGAAAGCCTTTCCATATGGCATGGGAGGAAGAATGTTAATATTCATAATGAACAGTCCAATTTATTCCCCGAGTTCTATATTTTTCCAATTAAATCTAGCAGAATAAATTGTGAGAAGTAGAAAGATTTGCACTATTTGGACATCATGGAGTGCCTCTTTGTGACAAAGAACGAGTTGAACTATTTATACTATTTGGACAACATGGAAAGTCAAGCTCCAAAATTCCTCATACATGTATGTAGGAAAATTTTGTAGAACACGATCAATATGCAGATGCTAAAAAGATGTGAAAAGAAAACACGATACTAAAAACACCTGTAAAAACACCTCAATACGGTTATCCAGTCTTTGCAAAATTATAAATTTGCCACAATCCAAATGTAGTAGATTGAACCAACAGAAATGCCACTATTCATTAAGCAAACTTTTTCAGAAAATATGAAATATTCTTGATTATTAATATTCCAAAAACTGACATGAACATATTATGAAGGGAATGAATCTCAAGGTAAAGAGATAATAAGCAGTTAATAAAGTACAAGTGCTTGCTTCACCTGGAATGAGTCATAAACTGCAGTAAGCCCATGGAAGGTCATGAAGTTTGCTAGTTCACGATGGATGTTTATGTAAAACTAAAGAATCTAACAGAAAGGACAATTGCAGCTGCAGCATAAGCAATGCACCAGACAACCACTGCAAAAACCATTCTGAAGAAATCCGACATCCTAGCTGCTGCTAATGTGCATTACTTTAGTCCTGAAAAGTTCATTAGAAAAATTCAAAGTTTATTAATAATACGCAGTTTAATGTTCTGATAAGAAACACATTGCAGATTGCAGATACTTAATTTGTCCCGCATTAACTCAAGCTCAACATTACTTTGATAGGACCAAGGAACAATATTGTATTGTTGAGATACTACATTGGTCGAAAGAAAATCTGAAGGCGGATAGTGCTTCCCTCCGTAAAAGTTTGATAAGGAAATGTTATCTCAGAAGCATTAGAAACTTCTGTATCGAATATTCTTTCAAGTTGCTGGTTCAAAATCTTTAACACTGGAAAACTGAGAATGGACTAAAGCTTTAGGCCTTTCTAGCAATCTGGAATGATACTTTGACTACTTAATAATTCTACAACAGTTCCATATTTCCACAACCTATACACTCGAGAAATGGTAAAATTATTCACAAATAAAAAACATTCCTTCTTCAGCTAGCAGTGAAGAACTCAATGAATTAATAACAATGAAACATGGAACTCCTAACATGTTTATATGCTTTGTTAAAAATTAGCATTCAATATTGGGTTAATTGCGGATAGACCCCCTGTACTATAGACAGATTGCGGATAGATCCCATTGTTGCGACTGATGCTTTGAGAAACCAAACCAACGAACGCCGAGAGAAAGACCAAACAAAACACAAACACCAAGGTTTTACGTGGTTCGGCAAATTGCCTACGTCCACGGGGCAAGAAGGGGGTGGGTTTTCACTAATAGAGAAGGAGAGTACAAATTGAGATTACAAATCGCTCAAACGAACCAACTAATCTCACCAACAAATCTCTCAATCTCTCAACCAATAACCCTAACAAATAGCTCAGAAAGATCTCTCTTTTTCTGTGCTCCAAAACCCCAAAACTCTCCTCACAAAACCCTCAAATCGTATTGGTATTTCTACCAAAACAGAAACCCAAACAGACTGCAAATAGGAACCTGAACTTTCCAAAAAACCCGTCATAAGTCGACTTATCAGTCTGCATAAGTCGACTTGGCAGAGCGAAAAACAGCAACTGGAGAAGAGATCATAAGTCGACTTATCAGACCTGATAAGTCGACTTGGCAGAGCAAAAAACCAACAATCCAGAGCAGAACGTAAGTCGACTCATGCACCAACATAAGTCGACTTACCATAAGTCGACTTATGCCTGTGCATGAGTCGACTTATGACCAAAAATCTGCTTTTTCCAATTCTTCTCCACAATTCTCCACCTCGGCGAAGTTTTCCCAAAACTGAGCCGACACCAACCAAACAAATGCCTCACATGCTGAGACCCAAATGAGAGTGTGAACACTCACCCCAAATGTCGATGTCGCTCACCAAATCGGCTGCATCAAAATGACTGCCTACGTATCCTTTGCCCAAGGAATCAAGCCTTCACGTAGTTCACCCAAACGGCCTCCAAAGGCCCTCAATCAAATAGAAAAGTCTGCAACTCTTCTCCAATATCACCAAACGATCTGCAACTGATAGTATTCCCAATGACCCCAAATTGAGACAAATCAAACACCTCCACCTGAGGTAAACCAATGGCCATATCCAAACTATATCTACCAGCTGCAACTGAATCCAAAACCAATCCATCATCTGCATCCAAAACCAAATGATCTCCAACCTGTGTCACCTTAGCTGGAATCCCAAATGACGCAGTATGATCTGGAGTATGTGGAGTAATCTCCACCCAACGTGGAGTAGCATCACTCTCCACCTGCTGCGATATCCAAATGACCTGATCAACACTCTCCACCTGCCGAGAGTCAAAAGTGACATACCTGCTCAGAACAAAATCAGAAGCTCCCAAACGATAATCAACTGAGCCTCCGAACCCCAAACGCGCAATCGGATCCAATCTCACATCCACGATGTGACCAAATGCTGGGTATCCAAATATCCGACGCGACCCAAAATCTGAAGCAGCTCCACCAGATCTAATAACTCCTAAAGCAGCAGTCGGCGACCTATGCATAAGATGACCCAAATATGTCGAAGCCCGCACACCAATGCCAATGCTCGACATCAAACGCCGATCCTCCTCCAGAAAGGAACGACCCATCGAAACTGTCATCTCATCTCGTCGCCCCAAAGTCTCCACACCAATGAAGTGTCTCCTATTGCCGTGAGCTCGGCACCAACGCAAGAAAGGACCCCTACCAAAGCTGAAACAATGAGTTACCTTTCTGCCAATACACTTCTTCCAATTGTTGTTGACTTCTAGGACTTTACACCAACGGGAACTGGTCGCGACCCAATAATGCCTAGAACAATCACCAACTGTGGAAACCAAGATACGATTACCTCCCAATGATGCCTCCTTGGAAGGCCCCCAAATGCCTGACTGAACACCTCCAAAAAGACCCCTCGCTCGATGGATAGAAGTGCCAAACTCCACCACGGTCTCGCTCATCCTAATGTGCTCACAGGACTTCAATCTGCAGGTCATAGCACTCCTCAACAACCAATGCACGGTATTACCAATCATATACCCCAGCACCAAACAATGCCACAGTCTAGCCGAATCTGATGAAGTCGTCATTTCCCTATCAATCACCGTGCTTCCGTGCAAATAATACAAATTTCTTCTTCTGACGCCCTTCATCACAATCATGGACCCAAATGTAACCTTCAAGCGTGCATCCGCCAAGGTCACCCTATAGCCAGCTGCCTCCAAAGCTCCAAGTGAAATGATGTTCTTCTTCAACTGAGGAACGAACCTCACTCCAACCAACTCCCGAATCACCCCGTCACTCATCCTGATCCGAACAGTACCAATACCACCAATAGAGCATTTGTGATCATTCCCCATGAGCACGAAATCCCCTCTTTCCAACTCCTGAAAGCTGGAGAACCAATCCCTCCTAGGGCAAATGTGGTATGTAGCACCCGAATCCAATATCCACTCTGTAGAGTAGGCAACACAAACTGACGGCAGTGCAGATAACGAGTAGCCCGAAGAATCCGAATCTGAATCGTTGCCACTAGCCTTGACAACATTCGCCTCTGAAGCTTGAATAGCTTTTCCCTTATTCTTCCCGGCTCGATCAACTAACTTTGGGCAATCGGCTTTCCAATGTCCATCTTCTTTGCAAAAGGCACATTGATTCTTACGAACTCCAAGATGTGCCCCTCTAGACTGCGACCTCCCACTACGGTTTGGACCCTTTGCTCTTGCGACCAACGCCCCCGCTACCGGCTCAAACGAAGTCTCCTTATCCTTCTTTCGAAGCTGATAATTCACAAGTGCAGCGGTGACCTCACTATACGAAAGAGATGCCTTCCCATTAATAAGAGTAAGAACGAAGGTCTCATATTCCTCGTCAGGCAAGGAACTCAATAGCAACAACGCCTTGTCCTCATCTTCAATCTTAACATCCACATTCGCCAAATCCGCAAGAAGCTTCGTGTAGTGGTTCATGTGATCACCAATGGAGGTTCCTTTCTTCAACTGGAAGCGGTAAAGCCTCCTCTTCAAATGCAAGCGATTCTCCACACTCTTGGTCAAATACTTGCTCTCAAGGATCTCCCAAATCTTCTTTGCAGAAGTCTCATTGATCACATCATACTTTAGATCTTGAGTGAGACAAGACCTAATCACACCACACGCCGTTCGATTCATCTTTTTCCAAACCTTCTCATCAATGTTGTCCGGTTTCCCGTCCAACTCCAACGTATCTTCCAAATTTTGCGCGTTGAGCGCATCCATGACTTCGCATCGCCAAAGTCCAAAATTGTTTGTGCCATTGAACTTTTCCACATCAATCTTCATTGAGTGGATATTCAAGCTTTGGACGGTCTTCACGCCGGAAGTACTGCCCACAACTCCTTCTTTCTCGGCCATAATCCTCAAGGCACCACCAAACCAATGCGGAAACAAACGAGAAATAGATCCAAACTGAAAAAGACGAGATTTTTACAAAAAAAGATCCCACCTTTATCACCAAACGAAGCCCTAGATGAACTTCCAAAGCGATCTACTCCTCCAAATAGCCCAAGCGTTGCCCGTGCTCTGATACCACTTGTTGTGACTGATGCTTTGAGAAACCAAACCAACGAACGCCGAGAGAAAGACCAAACAAAACACAAACACCAAGGTTTTACGTGGTTCGGCAAATTGCCTACGTCCACGGGGCAAGAAGGGGGTGGGTTTTCACTAATAGAGAAGGAGAGTACAAATTGAGATTACAAATCGCTCAAACGAACCAACTAATCTCACCAACAAATCTCTCAATCTCTCAACCAATAACCCTAACAAATAGCTCAGAAAGATCTCTCTTTTTCTGTGCTCCAAAACCCCAAAACTCTCCTCACAAAACCCTCAAATCGTATTGGTATTTATACCAAAACAGAAACCCAAACAGACTGCAAATAGGAACCTGAACTTTCCAAAAAACCCGTCATAAGTCGACTTATCAGTCTGCATAAGTCGACTTGGCAGAGCGAAAAACAGCAACTGGAGAAGAGATCATAAGTCGACTTATCAGACCTGATAAGTCGACTTGGCAGAGCAAAAAACCAACAATCCAGAGCAGAACGTAAGTCGACTCATGCACCAACATAAGTCGACTTACCATAAGTCGACTTATGCCTGTGCATGAGTCGACTTATGACCAAAAATCTGCTTTTTCCAATTCTTCTCCACACCCATGTAGTTCTATTGGTGCAGATAGACCCCCTGAATGAACTTTTTTCAACTCTATCAAAAATAAAAGAAATTCATTCAGGGGGTCTATCCGCACCAGTAGAACTACAGGGGAATCATCCTCAACCTTTTAATATTTCGATGGCTATATCCCTAATTCAGGTAACTCCACCAAAATTGAGAAGGCGCTGCTATTGTTCATATAAGAATAGCTATGAGCTACAGACCGCAAGGAAATTGAAAAAAGATGTTCTAAAGTGCTCTCCGAAGGAATTAAATTTAAAAGCTCAATTCTATATGCCAGTTAACTTTTTTCTATCAGATATAGGTGATCATGGAGGAAAATTGAACATGAAGGTTCATCTTTATGTCCATATCAATATTAGAGTCATACATGGCCTTAAACATTTTGACTCCCTCGTTCTGTTGCAACCTTTTTATTCCCTTTTAGTAAATATCTTGGGGGCTGAGAGTTTATTCCGACTCCTGACACTTTTCTAATAAGGTTGTCTTACATGGATTGACAAGCTTGTAGAAACTTGCAAAAAAAAAGTGCAAGAAAGAAAGTGAGCATAATTGAGTGAAGAAAATAACCAACTCAAACGAAAACTTTATTCAGCACAATTCCATATTTATACTTTTAAGTGAGACTGTTAAGCAAATAACCAGCATCTAATGCTTGAGCCGCTAGGACACTGCCACGTGTATTAACAGCTCGGTAGTCATGTTGTCCAGTTAGTATTCTCCATGATGGCCAAGAATGAAAAGAGTGCTAATCAAAATACAATACTAGAAGCGCAAACAACCAGCTTGGTAGAAGATAGTGATCGTGTTGTGAGTCCGAGCTGACCTCAGATCGACTGCTTACAACCCCTGAGATCAGTAAGGAGCTGGAAGAGCTCATTGCTTAAAGATATGGAAAATCACTTGTGATCCTTAAATCATGCGTTTAAGGATCTTCCCTTTAGCGAACAGCTAGCATAACCAAATCAATCTTGATGCGCACGCAAATTGGAAGTCCCCCCTGCCTATGACACCTCGTTTGGTACGCGAGAATGATTGGGAATAGAATGTCAATTCTCACTTCTCATTCCTCTGTACCAGCACCACGTGTTTCTGGAAATTAGAAATTTCATTCCCACTTCTCATCAATTCCCACATTATGCGAGAATGAACATTCCCCATTGAGTTGTCAAGGAATGAGCATTCTCAGTTAAGTGGGGGGAAAATACATATTTTTCAAATATGTCTATTCCTGCTTACACTCTCTAAATTGCACTCAAATGTGAGAATGAGAATGAGTACTCCGTTCTCACATTTATTTCCTTTCATTCCTGTTTCATTCCATTCTCACTTCACTCGGTTCTGTGTTCCAAACGAGGTGTAATGGTTTGACACGTGGACTTTACTGTAATAAAGGGAACCTTCCATGTAACACCTTGGCCAGTGGGAAAGCGACGCGTGCAATCGGTTATACCAAATTTGCCCATGCAAATCACGATAAACAAAATAACTAGCACAAAGATAAAGGGATCCACAAAATCTACTCAAAACCATGGTCAATTTCCCTTAAGTTCTGTCTTCTTCATTAGAGACCAACTCGGGCATTGAAGGGGAGGCAGAGAATAACCTACGTCGTCATCTGAAAGTGTTTTTCTTCCTAATTTACAGGCCATATCCAGAGACCAGAGTAACTCCCGTTGATCTGTCGAGAAGATCGGAGGCCCTAAACTTCGAATCTTGATCTTCAAGGTTTACAGATCTTAAGTATTACTTTGCATAAACAAAGACGAAATCAGATATGAAAGACACATCACTTTTTTTAACGCTGAAATTATATTCCATATTCAACAGCGGAACATACATAAGAAGATGTACAAAAAAATAATCTTGTTTAAAGATTTGGAGAGTTATTCCTTCATCTGAACTTTCAAGGTGGTCTGAGGACAATGTACCTCCGTAATTGGAGTTGGTTCAAAAAATTTATCTTCCTTAGATATAAAGTAACATTTCTAGTGTGAACACTGCGAGACGACTCGACACATCACATACAGACGTTAGAATATAAAAATATAACCCTCATCTCTCACCGCACCTTCGGAGTTTTGTAGTAATGATTATAATAACAACTGGTAATCATAACCTGTCACCAACACGATCGAAACCATAGCGTCTAAAAGTTAAAACCTATGTCTTTTCAATTTTCGCAATTTTCTGACATAATATAATAACAATCTTCACAATGAACTGGGTATGTGGCTGTCTTCAAAGTCACATTATTATCATGAGTAATGCTTGTGATCGTTCCCAAAGATAACCAATCGACAGTATCTCATCAATTTACATAGCAAACAACAGCCAACAAAAAATTACTCTTTTCCATGGAAATTAGATTCTGGGCATCCTCGTTCACAAGCAAAAGTATCAACCACACAACTAAAACCCCATAAAAACAATCAGACCCAGCTAACGGCTGACTCAACTTTAGGATAAAAAAGAAAGTAATAATAATTGAGAGAAAATGGGCAGAGGGCATCACGAACCTGCTTGGATTCAGTGAAGAAGTTGATCGAAGAACAAAAGAAGGCAGCAACTCATCAGAGCTCGATTGCAGGAGGAGAGTAAGGTGAAGACAGGAGGGAACAGATTAAAGGGACTTTTGTTGAAGGGACAGAAAATAGAAAAGGAGCAAACAAGAAATATATATATAAAAATAAAGTCTTTGTACGCGTCGTTTGAGGATTGGGTCTGGTGGAGCCCACAAAAATTGGGACCCTGTTTATTGGAAAAGGACATAAAATATTAAAAAAATTAAATTATTGGCACGCGGGTTACTGATCATAGATTTGGTTTTGATTGTTTATTAGAGATGGAGTAGTGCTAGGGGATATGGTTATCTTATCTTATTAGATATTTTATGACGAATTAGAGGGATCTGCTATTTTTTGTGCATTGATGAATGTAAAAAATAAGGATTAACTTTAGAAAACCGCTCTAAGTTATTTTAACTCTAGAACCCCCCCTCCCTTAACTTTCGGGTAGTTGTGGATAATCCCCCTCGACTTTCAAAATCTGACTTACTCTGATCAACTTTTCTTACTTGACCCCCTAAACTAATAAAATTTAATCTAAAGGAACGAATAATTTAAAGTGACCACATCTCCACCCCGCTTCCATTTTTTTCTTCCTCCATCTCCATTGCTAGGTCCACATATGAAATCAAATTTTCTTTCTTTTTTTGAAAAGCTAAGGTTCTCTTATTTTGAACTTATTCATGCTTCTAATGCTTGAAACAATTGAATTTTTTTTTAATGATTGGTTTCCTTGTCAAAACCCATTGAATTGAAGTCTTAATATTTTAATTGGTTTGGCCTTTTGAATTCATATAGGTTTTGCTCAACCAAGGGTATTTTAATTATTGCACATCTTGAATTAATGATATTGAGGGGTTATTTTAAAAAAAAATGCAAAGATAAGTAGGGTTTTATGAAACACGCCATGTTTGAGGGGGGTTAAGTCGTATTTTGAAAGCTTTTTTTTTGGGGGGGTTGTTATCTAAAACAACTCGAAAGTTGAGGGGATTTTTTTTTTCTAGAGTTAAAATTTTTTTTTTTTTTTGGGGTGGGTATTAAAAAAATAAGGCAACAAGTATTACTTCCCCATTTGCTATGATTCATTTGAGTAAAAGAAACTTAGGGCTTGTTTGGATTGAGGGGAATGAGGGTGAAGGGAAGTTAGGGGAATCATTCACCTCCATTCACCTTGTTTGGGAACACTTAGGAGGTGAAGTTAATTCACCTCCATTCACCTTGGTTCACCCCCTAATAGTATAAAAATTGTTACCCCCCAAATTGGGGTGTAACCAAGGGGAAGGGAATTCCCTTCCATTCCTTTCCCTTCCCTTCCCTTCCCTTCACTCAGTTTCCCTTAACTTCCCTTCACCCCCTACGAATCCAAACAGGCCCTAAATATAGAACCTAAAAGCGAACAAAAATCTTATTTGGGATGCAAACACATGAGGATATCCTCAAATAGATATGAATACAAATACTAAATATTTATATCTGATATGATAAGGATCAGACATATAAGTGAAATATATACACTGACCGAACAATTGAATTTATTTCGACCGTGAGATTAATAGAGTGAGATCAATGTAGATGCTCCAGATATCTAATCTCGGTTTTTCAAATAGGTTGAAATGCTGATGAATTCACATCTGAGAAGTTTGTTACATTTAAATATCTCATGTATAGACCTACATGTTTTTCAATCTTACTTATTCCCCTCATATCCATCGTGTATACGCATGTATTTTCTCTTAATTTCTAGTCGTATTCGGATTTTTTTTAACAAACATGATGAATACAGAGTTTTCCTTACTTAGACATCCAATTAGCGTTTGCATGCAATCCAATCCAAGTTCATTTACATCAAGCCTGAAAAGTGATTTCATTGTTCATATACACACTCGAACTCGAAAGAAAATAAATGCAAATATAGTAATATCTATATCTCCTTTATTTAAACACCTAGTTAAATCCTCAGCTGTCAAACTGCTAAAAGGGTTTTTAACAAAAAAGATACGCATTTATCTCATCTCATTTCATTTTTCCTCAAACTTTTTTCAAGATTCTGATGTATCATTTCCTTCACAGTGTTAAGTCTTTGCCTCACCCTCATTAGCAAGCCTGAACTTGAGGACTTTGTGAAGGCTCGCTACGGGCTTTACTTGTTTTGACGGGACTGGAGTCGGATCAACTATGGATGTTTCTTTGAAAAGGTTCCTTTCAGATTCCCCAGTTTCTGGATGCAAAACTACTTTCTCTTCATCTGCAGGTACAATGAGAAATGTTATGCTTCAATTTCACGAAATGAAACCTATTCTACAATTCACAGTGACAAGGGTTCTTGCTAGAATATAGTAAAAAAAAAGAGACATCGAATAACATGTCATGATTCTTAAAGAATGTCATGTCATGAATGGTTCTCTTGTTTCATTACTGAAGAAAACTGTGATCAGCAAATTGGGTGTAGCTTGTTCAAGGGATGCTTTCTTGAGGTAATAGACATCGTGTCATCGGAGTTCGAGAACAAAAGTAATTGCATTGCATTTCCTTCCCATATCTTCTTATACAAACAAACAGGGACATTATCACAAATTTGAAAAAGAACAAAATAAAGGGTATCAGCTGCCATAATATTTGCATGTCGGCAAAGAAATTAATTTAGTTAGATTCATCTTGATCCCCACGATGAAAAAGAATATTGACACATCAAAAATCTCGTGAAGCCCATAATTCTAAAGGTTAAAATGTTTTATCATACTAAAACCACTAATTCGCAATCACTTGATCAAAAGTCAAATGGCAAAAAGTTACAAGACAAGATGCATGGAGTGATCATCTTCTTGAATGGGTAACATGGACTCTCATTCCCATTATTCTCTTTGAAGAAAAAGAAAACATATATTGAAGATAGTACGTGATGCCTATATTGGAAGTTCGATGCTGCATTACGACAAGCCATTTTGAAATCTGCCAATTTCTTTATCTCAAGGAGGCAAATATAAGAATATCACTACTCTTAGAAGATTTAGTTTCCAAAGTTATTGCATTTTGGCTGGGAGAAGTTCATGTTTATGATTCGTTCAAGTCCTACTCAATGATATGACTCAAATCATGTATATTCACTATACTACAACTAGAGAAAATTACCTCTTTCAGAGAAAAGGTAGCATGTTCCCATTGTCTCTTGGTATTCCCCAATCTGTTATGACAAAGAAGAAATGGTGGAATATTAATTCGAGAAAACTACAAAAAGATCGAATTAAAAGAAAATGAAACTGAAAACCATATATCATCATGCACCACTCTCAACACTAAGCTCAATTCAAAGAATGAAATAACCTGAATACTACAACAACAACAACAGCAAAAGAAAAAAAAAATCCTTCAAGCTTTCGAGCTAAATTGCAGCATTACCCCCGAAAGTTTCACTACCTTACAAATAAATATCCTCTTCTTTTGTTACCCAAATAATTCACTTACTTCTACAAAACAAATAGGGCCACAGAGTTCCCTTCTCATAGAAATTTTTTTGTGTCTGCACGAGATATCTTAAATTAAGTCCCTCTAACCATTACACAAAAACTCCAAACTTAAGGTGATGATCGATGATTATAGTTTTACATTAATTCTAACATGCCCCAGCAGGTTGAGTGCCCTTTTAATGGTCTGAAACCTGGACTCACGCAGCGGTGTCAATTCCTAGAAAATCTGCTTTAAATTCGTGGCACCAAAATCCAAAGTTATAGTGAGGGTCAAGGATTATAGTTTTATATTAGTTCTAACAAGATTTTTGACCAAGAATTGCCATCAACGAAAGCCAAAATTACTAACCAGCTTCAATCGATCTCCAATGACCAACACAGGATTCAACGTGTCGAGACCCTGCGACAATAATTCACAATCATGCTCAGGCCGTAGGAGGCGAATGTAGCTAATGAAGAAATGAGACCAAACTTAAATTAAAGAATACTCACTGACAGGGCATAGGGAGCATTGGGTGGAATATCTGCTTGCACGCAAACATCACCCAGATCAAGTAAAACGTGCTCTTCTTCATAATCCTTCGCCTGCTTATTTTGCTCAAAGCTAGCCTCCATCGCTTGTAGCCTTAAACTCAAGTTAACAAACTCTCAGAAGCAAACAACCAAACACCTGATAGGCATCGAATCAGGAATTCAATTATTCTCTTTTGTGGGTTTGGGTTTAGTTTCTGCGATTCTGAGATGTGGGTTGATCTAAAAATTCGACGATTCGATTGGATACCTATCCTATCAGGCTTTTGATAGAACAAGAAGCAAAGTTTTAGAGGAGGGGGAAAAAGAAAAGAAAAAGAAAGGGGGGGAAAAAGAAAAAGAAAAAAGAGGCTTACCTTGAGAGATTAGATGAACCTAGGGCTGTGCAAACGGTCGGTCCGTTCGGTTTTTATTAAATTTTGAACAACCGAACAAAACCACTCATTATTCAAAGCCAAACTGAATTGTTGCAAGTCAGTTCGGTGCGGTTCGGTTCTAACCAATTCAATGCATATGTGAACCACCTACAGATATCTAACTTCATAATGTGAAAGTTTAACTTACTTCATGCTACTACATGTACAGGGTAGCTCTATGAAAATTAAAATTACTTCACAAAGTTTTTCCAGCAGTTTATTGCAATATAAGGACCCAAGTGCAATTTCAACAATGCTGAAATTCACTACACGGATTGCTTACCACTAAGCCAATATAAATAGGCCTCACAAATTGTTGGTGGTTTACTAAATCTTTGTTAATTTGACATTATGCCTCCAAATCTTTTATAATTCTTCTAAATTAGACCCTCAATATAAATAGGCTTGTTTTAGTAGCTTATGCCTCCAAATGTACTAAATTCTTTTAAGTAGCACCCCGCATTTTTAAGTTCCACATCAAACTCTACTAAATTTCGTAGAGTAACACGCCCGTTCGAACAAAAATGAGGTTTTTTGGAGTATAATTAACAAAGATTAAATTGAATCACAATTGTTAATTGAAAATAGTCAGAAAGTTGAGATTAATAAAGTAGCTTCTCCGTTGTTTTCTATTAATGGAGAGTATTGAAATCCTAAGGTTTTAAAGAAACAGTAGAAAATACAAAAGTCTTAACAAAAGCCAAATTCTGAAGGTTCAACAAAAGCCAAATTCTGAAGGTTCTGCTCTCTTTATCGTAGTTAGGCAAGTTTCCCACCTTTTCCATTTTAAAATTACAGAACAGTTAAAAATCACTACAATATAATCAATTGGAGTCCGATATGAAAATTTTAAACATTATACTATAATGCTTGGTTCATAAGAAATAAAATTATGGTAAATGAGAACTGTTGAGGGCTTGGCTCTCAACAACAGATTTAGTATGGATTTCGTAGGGTATTTGGGTCCCTTAATCTACTTTGGTGCTCGAACCCTGAAAAGAGGAGAGTCCTGCAAAAACTGCGATACGTTAGAGAACTGGAGTTGGGTTCTCCGGGTGATTCCACTGACGATGGAACTAAATAAGTTCTAAGTCTCAGTGTGCAGAAATTGCGTTACCTCTGGCTAGTAGGTGATGGGCCTATTTATACCCGACTAAGGGATGCTTACGTAAGTTTCGTCCAGTACAGGCAGATGATGCGGCATAATTATGTACCAAAATTACAAGTGCACAATTTATCAAGTTATAGTATAAAAAGATATCGATCCCACGAGGAAGGTGATTTTAAGAGATTATTAGAAATGGTTCTTATGTTTTGTGCATGACAATTAGGAATAAAGAATAAATGCGATTGTGATGAGTGATTTGTTGTGAATATTTGCAAAAGATAATAAATTGAATTTTAGAGGAGAGAAGGACGAATTAAAGAATAAATGAAATCACAAGGCAAGAAAAATGAATGAATAAAATCAAGAAATAAAACCAAGAATGAAAAGAAAATTTAAGAAAGTCAAGATGGAGGATTCAAAAGAAGTAAGAAATCTAGAATATAATCCACTAACCAATTTCAATTACAAAATATAAACTATTCTCTTTTTATCATATTTTAACTTAGATTTATTAAGCATAGATTATCAAACCATTTAAGGAAAGTGTAACCTATCAAATTATCATCTAAGCTAAAATTACTATTCATGATAAGAACAACAACATGATAATAATCCTAGAATTCATAAGCATAACCTATCAAACCATTTAAGATAAGCATAGATTATCAAATTCTTCTTCTACCGATTAGTTCTCTAGTTGATTATCCTAACATGAACATTTTAAGTACAAGAGAATAATTCATATAATATAAAGGAAATTAAACTAGTTTCATATAATTCTAAACTTCCTACAAGAATTAAATTCACATCTTTTTAACAAGAAAATAAAATCTAAACTACAAGCATAGAAATAAATCTACACTAATAAGCAATAAAAAGGAAATAAAAGAGAAAAAGGAAAGAAAATGCAAACCTCTAAATAATTCTTCATCTCCATCTTCATCATCCAACAAAGAAGAAAGAACAAATTTAAAGAGAAAAAATTATTATTATTAATTGCAACTAAAGTTACAATTTTTGGAAGGCCTTCTCAATTAAGAGTAGCCCTCCTCTCCAAAAGGAGTTTACAAAATTTTCACACCCTTAACCCCTCACTCTCTACCCCTATTTATAGTAATCTTCAATGAATTTGAGCCATTGGATTTGTCTTGAGCCCCAAGCAACTATCTCCACCTTTGAATTTGCTTTTTGATTTTCTCTAGTTTAATCACAAGAGGCTTCATTGATTTTCATTTGATTTTCACAAGAAAATCAAAATCCCGCCCTCTTCTTGTACGTCTGCAGCAAAGCTTTGAGGGCTGTTGCATTTGATTTTAGAGTTAGGCCCAAGTTGCATTTCTCCCTTGATTTTCCTAAAATGCAAATGAAAAACGTCCAAGTCCAGTTTCAAAATGCTTCAACTTGCAGCAACTTGTCTTTTAGGTCCGGCCCATATGATGTTGTGCTTTTAATTGTTTTTTTTTCCAAGCAACCGGCCCATTCAAGCATCCAAGCTTCATTCCAAGCAACCGGCCCATTCAAGCATCCAAGCTTCAATGAAGCTTGTGATTAAAATGCAATAGCAGGTCCGGTCATGAGTCTTGAAACAAATCCGGTCCATTTCATTTTCCATTTGATTTTCAAATGTAAATGGGTGTAATTTGTTTGTTGATGGGCTTTGGCCTTTGTGGCTTCTTCTTGAGCATGATGTGTAGGAGGATTTTTGGCCTTGCTTCATGGACTTCTAAAATGCTACAAAATAGAGAAGAGAGATGGTTAAGGGGTTTTCACATTTAATAATATTTATTTATATTTTTATTTATGTGCAAACAACAATTATTAATGGTATATTTATTCATGTAAAATAGATAATGAGGGTATAAAATTGTAATAAAATGTGATTATCAGCAGATAGCTGAGTTAGTAGATAATCCATATATATCGGCTACAGATGAGATGAGTCACCTGAGTTTGATGTGATGGCGACTAAGGAGGCATTGTGCTAACGAAGGGCGACGAGTCATTGAGACTTCAATGGCTGGAGCAATGATGATGCCAAGCCTACGATGTGATGGTGCCTAGCTGTTAGCGAGAAGTTCGAGGTCAAACTGCCTCTCGACTTGGCCTTGCGAGTGGGCCGACAAAGGATGCCTTTCGCTTTGGTCTTGCGAGCGGGTCGATAAGTACCGCATTTTAGTCGGCTATGAAAGTTGTCGACCAGATCTTGCAAAATGATGAGGTGTGGTGTCGACTCCAATAGTGAAGTTGAAATGCTTTTTGAGTCAGCCCTTACTGTTAAGGGTAGAGTGATGAGTCAATGGACTCGTCCTATCTAGGCCGAGTCGAGATAAGACCCCAATAATCTGGGACATGTGTCGACTCCATGGGGAGGATTAGCACTTAGGTTATTTGATGACATAACACTAACCCTTTTTGCTCGAACTCAGTTGGCCAAGTGCGAGTAAAATTGAACTGTTGTTGGACGGGTCCTGAGACGTATATATGAGGGGTCGCTGAAGGGTTGTTTCTGATGTGATGTTTCTAACGTCAGAGAAGATCTTGAGCTACCGTCACCTTAGTTCCTGAGCAAAGATTGTGGGTTAATCAAAGCGAGTGGTGCTTCGGTTTTGGAGCTATCATCTCAACTTCTGGGAATGATTTGGGACGTTTGTCAATAACTAGGTCAGTCATTGCAATTTCACCATTTGTCGGCCCCTCTGCCTATAAGTACGGTCGCTCTGAGATGGGGGAGGTTGTTGCTCCCATGAATTCTTGAATCTTCTTCCTCTGTAGTGAGTGATTTCTGATACTTATTACACTCTTTTCCATTGATCAAATGACATCTTCGTCTTCAGTAGCTGAGATTGACGCTAGATCAACCATCTTCGGAAGTTCCACTCAAAGGTGTCGTCATCGCTGCTAGAAACTTACTATGAGAAGTTTGATATCCTTAGGATGTTCGCCCTATTAGTGCCGGTGCATACACGGACAGTGTTCGACCATGGTGGCAACACAGCTCCGGTGCCGCTCCACCCCTTCCTCCGCCATGTCTTCGAAGCTACCTGGGGGTTTCGCCGTCACAAATGAAGTTGAACTCCATTGCCACTATGGTGGGTTGCGTTGTTATCTACCATTGGCTAAGAGTTGAGCAGACTTTTAGAATTCTCAGTCATCTTGTCTGTGTGAAAGTGAATCAGCAAGAGGGCCACTATTACCTCCAGATCGTGGGGGGGGTTACAAATCATTTCCAATGCCTCTGAGTCCAATAAAGAATGAAAGGAGAGATGTGTGTGGGTCTTCGGAGGTAATGTCATCTTGACCTGCTCCATGTGGCTCAAGATCAACAAGGATGCGCTGATGCTGGGTTTGTTATCGAGCGACGAGAAGCGTGCGCTTGATAAAATCAAGGCCTACATTGGTTCCCGTCGAAGCGAGAACCTCTTTGACAACTTGGTATTATGAGTTATCGGCCTCTCTTCAGTTCCTCCAACTACGAATGATGTAACACGGTCAGCCATATTGATTCTAGGCTCGGAGGAAACTAAGGTGTTGGCTGAGGCAACCCCAACTTGAGCTCGAGAAGGATCCTCGGTGAGGCTGAAGAAGCACCTCTGCTTTGATTTGGCCCCTGAGGAGGCCAAGAGGGTACGTGCTAATGTAGCCGAGATCACGGATTGACTGGCTGGGTTGATCTCTACTATTGTTCAGGCTGAGAGGTCTAAAAAGAAGAAGAGATGACTAAAGAAGATGGACAGTCGAAGCCCCTCTAGGAGTGCTAGAACTCCTAAAGATAAGGTTGAAGCTGCGAGGGAGGCAGGTAGCTCGGAGGAATGTAGCAAGCCAGCCATCAGGCGAAATCCCTCTTTCCCAGGAAGTTATAGGGAACAACACTCTTGTCGTCCCTACATAAGAGGATCCTATGACCATGCTACGAGATATCGTCATTGTCAACAATAGGTCCCCTGCTAGAGAAAAGGGGATCGAAATCACCCTGGTTGAGTGGTCAAGGCTTCAGCGAAGAGGGAGGCGGCCCCTGACATAACTACAGAGTCGGCCCTTTGGAATGGAAAGGAGTCGGTCGCTGAAGAGGCATTCTTTGCTCGAGGATTTGCATGGTCATTCCCCCACCGCATCGATGAGCTCGATGCGAAGAAAAGGGGAGAATTGAAGGTGCTATTGATAGGGTCTTCTAGAGTCGACCCCCACTATGATAAATAATTGTTTGAAGAATTCAGATTTGAGCGTAGGCGGCATCTTGATAGGAGAGGGTTAGTTGTGGAGTCCCGACTCACCCAGACTAGGGCTGTTGAACAGTTCTTCTTGCCTCGGGATGATGACATCCTTGCAGCTATGCCAGATATCAGCCTCCATCAGTCCCTCAAAGGCTACATGCTTCGAGAGGTCTTAGTAGAGCAGGAACTGTTTGGTCAGTTTGAGCATGTGCGAAACCTCTACATCAAGCTCGAAGAAGAGTTAGAAGCTTGTAAGGTGGCCCATGAGATGGCCCTCCTGAATTTGGCTGCCAAAGAGAATGAGTTGGGGACCTGGAGAAGAGGAGAGGAAAAATGGTGCCGGGAGGTGGAGATGAGAGATGTCATGGTTAAGGGCATGAAGGCTTCTAATAGCAAGAAGCCGACCGAAATCAACAAGCTCCAAGAAAACATTGGTCATCTCGAGTATGAGCTCCGCGAGTGGGATGAGAAGGTCTGATACTTAACCGAGGAGGTCGAGTTCGAAAGGCAAGAAAGTGCAAGTGCTTATGAGAAAGCTCGGTTAGCCCGCCAGAATGCTGAGGCTCCGAAGGACCAGCTGAAGGAGGAGCAGATTGCTCATGAGAAGCTGAGGCAAGATAGCACCCGAGCAGTATTGGAGGCCGAGTGACAATACGAGTCGTCTCTTGCCGAAGTGCAGGCATTGCAGCGTCGCCTTGATCATCTGGAGTCCAAAGCCTACCAGTTCAAGATCGTTGAGAACTACTGCAATGATACTCTCGGGAAGGTGGAGGTAGCGTTTGCTTGCAAGACATGCTTCAACTATCTAGAGATGCAGCTTTTAGTTGAGCTCAAAATCGATCCCAAGCGATTCCATTATCCTCCTCGAGTGGCTAACTATCTTGGCACTCTATGAAGTAAAGAAGAAAGGAGGAGGGGCTTGTGCTTAATGCAAGGAGTGTGGACGAAGATGATGAAGAGTCGATCTAGGGAATAAGCGAGGGCTCGACCCATAATACTTGGGCGAGCCAGTTGCTGAGGAAGGGGACAAAGTAGTTGGGTCTATGCATCGGTTGATTCCTCTACCAACTTTCACTTGCATCGTCCCTCCATGCTCGACTTTTGCTCCTGGCTCTAGCACCGCTCCTCCCAAGCCTTCCAAGATTCCAGCACCGCTTCATCTCCAAGTCATGCGCCTTCTCCAAGTCCGACCCCTTAAGGGCTCATATGTATTTTCTCTCTTTTTATGTTAGTACTTTTTTGTATTGTAAACATTTTGAATATATAAATAAAAAATTACTTTTACCAATCTAAATAGTGTACCTTTGTGATTGCGTTCTTATGTGTTTAAGTGTTGGCCATCTTCTTTAGTCGAGTATAAGTTTGTTTTCAGGAGTTCACTTGTCAAGGCGACTCAGCTTCATGCCTTGTGGTGGAGATAACTTGATCTCGTTCCTTGGGTTTATTCACAATGACACTAAGGTCTTAGGGTACGTACCTTGGACTTATGAGCATGATGCCAATGTCTTTTGAGTTAAAGACGATCAAATTAATGATGTGCCATGGTTTTTTTCCGAATGGGTACTAAGGTTATATGTGTCAAATTCGACCAGAGGGGGCGACTTGACTCCGTGCCTTGGGTTTATTCACAATAACACCAAGGTCTTGGGCATGTGCCTGGGCTTATGAGAATGATGATAAGGACTTTATTGCCGAGTTGATGAAGATCAAGTGGTAAAAACTACATACAAGTTAGTGCACAACAAAAATATCTCTTATTTATGAAAGGTCTGAATTTGACTATTTCTTTGGGGAGGTATCTTTCGAAATGGTTTATACTTTAACAAACCTACCATCCTAACCTTATGATTTGTTTTTAATCTTTAATGGGATTTCTTGACTGCCGTAATGCTCCAACGACGATGACAATTTCTAATTTTAATGCTCGAACAAGGGGGATCACCCACTTTCTCAAAAAAGAGATGAAGAGCCCCTACGTTGGGCGCCAATGTTGATGGCTTGGCTCTCAACAACGGGTTTAGTATGGATTTTGTAGGGTATTAGGGTACCTTAATCTCCTTCGGTGGCCGAACCCCTAAAAAGAGGAGAGTCCTGCAAAAACTGCGACACATTAGAGGACCGGAATTAGGTTCTCAGGTGATTCATTCGATGATCAAGTCAGTTATGATTTGAAAGAAATCAATAAACTGAATAAGTTCTAAGTCTTAGTGTGTAGAAATTGCATTACCTATGGTTAGTAGGCAATAAACCTATTTATACCTGATTGAGGGGTGCCTACGTAACTTTGGCTGAATCTAGACAGACAACTGAGTTAGTAGATAACATATATGTGTTGACTGTATATGAGATGAGTCACCTGAGTTTGGGGTGATGGCGACTAAGGAGGCATGATGCTTACGAAGGACGATGAGTCGTTGAGACTTCAATGGCTGGAGTAATGATGATCCTGACCAAGCCTACGATGTGATGGTAACCAGCTATTGGCGAGGAATTTGAGGTCAAACCACCTCTCCAGTCGGCTCTGCGAGCTGGCTGATAAGTACCGTATTTTTAGTCGGCTATGAAAATTGTCGACCCGATCTTGCAAAATGATGAGGTGTGGGATCGATTCCACTAGTAAGGTTGAAATGCTTTTTGACTTGGCCATTGCTGTTAAGGGTAGAGTGATGACTCAATGGACTCGTTCTACCTAGAGTCCAGTCGAGATAAGACCTCAATAATCTGGGATACATGTCGACTTTATGGGAAGGATTAACACTTGGGTTATTTGATGGCATAACTAGAACTTAAGAGATGGCTCACGTATGAACACGTAGCATAACATGAGATACACAAGTAAACAAAAAAGACAGCAGTAATCATTCAGCTAACCTATGTGTACTATAAAACAAAAGCTGGTAGGAGTAAATCCTTGCAATTACTATGTGGCCCCACTTTTGTCCGTTGGATAATACTTCAACGGTCAGATGCAAACGTCATTCTCAACTCCATAGTAAAACAAACCAGATGCAAAGCAGCCCCCGTCTGCAGCAGATACCTCAATGGATTCTTCTATTCAATCCGTTTCAATCTCTTGATTTTGTTTCGATGTGACAATTTTCAAGGCAGAAAAAAAAAAGGGAAAAAAATTGATAATTTAACAAATTTGGATCAGTATAAAAAATACGCAACTAATAAAAAACCTATACAAACAGTTGTTTAATGGCAAACTATGACATTTAGTGCAATGAGTACATAATAAGTCGGTGTGATCACTAGCTTCATAATTGATAGTAAAATACTTGTTACATGATTTTGCATAGTTTTTAATGACCTGCTCATACATCTTCAGCAGCAGGATTTATCACCTCTTAAATCCATTGTTAATATTGATATAAAATTTTTCAGAATATATACATGCCAAAAAGAGTGTTTGCATGGTGACATCTATGTAGAGGATAGAGGGGCAGTTTAAGAAATTTAATCATTCTTTTATGGGTGGCACTAGGGGCACACCCCCAACCACATCCCAAACCACACCCCCTCTCTCATATGCTACAGTACACCGGGCCCCACATGAGATTTTAAAACTTTAAAATCCCATATGAGGCCTGGTGCAATGTAGCATATGAGTGAGGGGGTGTGGTTTGGGATGTGGTTGGGGGTGTGCCCCTATCATTTTCCTTCTTTTATGGTGCCAATCACCTCTCTTCTAAAAGTGGATGTTCTAATGCGATTTATATTCAAGAAGAATTATTTGTAATTTTATCAATTTCCGAATATCAATTCAGTGATAGTAAATATCAATCTTACGGATGAAAGAGATCGATGGTGTGAGCCTTGGCGCAATGTTAAGATTGTTGCATTGTGACATGAAGGTTAGTGGTTCAAATCTCGAAAACATATGAGGCTACATGCATCTGACCCTTCGATCGAGTAAATCTGCAACAGATGAAAGGAGTCACTTCGTGAACTGCAGCAGTGAGGATGCAGTCAATCGAAAATATCCACAGTATCCCTGCCCAAAACGCCCCCTCACCAAACACCCAGCACCACCGCGCGCTCGGGGCCATTTTCGTCCGGCAAAACCTCCCGTTAGAATTGACCGCCCAACGAACCTAACCGTTGTCTCTCGTATACCCGTTTATACCTTAAATACATCATCTCAAACAATCATCAACAAATAAGAATTTGTTATTACTCAAACAAGAGATATTGTAAGATCAATGTACTAACAAGAACAACCAGAACAAGTGCAGGTTTTAAGCTTTAGGATAAAATAATTCTTTAATTGCTTGAAACAATTTGTAAATGGGTTGTATCAAGAATGAATCATTACAATGTTCTTCTGCGATCCTGCAACTTGAAGCAAGATGGCAAACTGGATAATCTCCCATAGCATAATGACACAAATAGACACCATCATTACATTATAATCAAAGTAACAAGGAATTCCAACTTCTAGACGTGGTACGGGAGCCCCGAAGGCGACGGCAGCGACGGTGAGCCAGCTGCATGTGAAAATTATTTAAGTGCCTAGCCGGCTAAAACGAAATTATAATCTACGATCAAATTTAGCTTGATTTGCTTGATTCTAGTTGTTCAACTTGTTAAGTAGGCTAATTCCTGGGGAAAAAAATATTGGTGTTAATATTTTCGTTTATTTATTTATTTATTTATTGCTTTATTATTGTCCTGCTGGCGATTTATGTTTCTTGAATTGTGTAGCGATTTGCTAGCGGGGGGGTGCGCAGTAAAAGCTGCACTGGTTAAGTTTAATAAATCACTCACGCGCGCAATAGATTTTCTAGCCGTTGCGGAATTCACCCGATCACATGCTTCGGCGTGAACAGCAAACAGCGAATAACTAACATCCTCGTAGCCCGTGCAGTCTGTTCCGCTGCCACGCGTAATCTGTCACATTGCACAGCACCGTTTTACTAAAATCTACGATCAGATTTATGGGAAATTTCTTCAAAATTATAAATTGTTCTGTCGTTTGATAGCTTTTTTCGCATATTAACCCCTGTGGTTTTACAATTTAATTAGGGGGGGCCTGCGGCTACGGCGATCTCGTGGACGTTCGCCCCCTAAAGGCTCGCGTGGGCGCAGTGAGCCCGGTGCTGTTCAAGGACGGGGAAGGCTGTGGGGCCTGCTACAAGGTCAGGTGTGTGGACCCCGCAATCTGCTCACGGCGGCCGTTTGGTAGGACCCACTTCGATCTAAGTGGGGCCGCCTTCGGGCGGATGGCCGCTAACGGCGAACGGGCCCAGCTCCGTAACAAAGGGGAGATCTCCGTTCTGTACCGAAGGTAAATCTCCGTAAATAATAATAGTTACTAATTAGTTAATTTTTATCGTCTTAATTACTACTGTCTTATATATGTTTCCATGCATCCTAGCTCTGCTCTTTTTGACCGACACGTCCAAAATGTTCTTCTAGCTATACAAAAGTATACTATTTTTAATCCCATGCAACCTTTTTCTGGTACATGTGAATAATTTATAAATTAAGGATATAATTTACCAAAGAAATATATAGTAGAATGAGCTATCAAGAGATATAGGCTTCGATGTACGCACCTTCAGATGTGAGTAGTAGAACAAGCATAAACAACAGTCTATATCTATATTTAATTATTTCTACTTTAATTTGTTGTTTCTACTAGATTACCGCCTTTTAAGAATAATATGCAAGCTATATTTTATTGTGAATTATTTCTTGAAAAGAGAAATTAATTTGATGTACACATGTAATCGTAAAATGAAGGAGTTGTAGCTATAAATACACGAATACAGGTTTTTTATTTATAAATTAAAAATGTAAGTTGAAGCTACAATTTTCCCGCACCAAACAATCATAAGTCATAGCATACAAATTGAAGTACAAAAAACTCTGATCTAAGGACATCTTAATTAGCAAATTATAACTAGATTATTTTTGTGAGATACTTTTTCTTTAATTTGCAGGACACCCTGCAAATATCCTGGAAAGAATGTTGCTTTTCATGTGAACGAAGGGTCGACAGACTACTGGCTTTCACTTTTGATCGAGTTTGAGGATGGTGATGGAGACATTGGATCTATGCACATCAAACAAGTATGCACATATATATTTCTTCAATTTTAATTTTACATTTATTCTTTTTCTGCCGCAAGCTGTACGTATAAGTTTCGAATAATTTACCCTTCCTAATATTTTCATATATCAAAAAAAAAAAAAAGCATGCAAGCTGTATTAAATAAAAGCATGCAATAGGTAGAGTGATTGATCTTTTATTGCTATGAATTGAACTTTATGACCACAAGTTGGGTGGCTAGCAAATGAGAGCTTATTTTATGACCTGTAGTCACATGATATCGGGCCATGTTCACGTGCCAACATGCTCAATGCCGCAATATCCTTAATTTCTCATTAATTAATTACAATTAGAAGAACCACATACATACAATATATGCTCAAAAAAGGAAATCCAACATGCACTTTTATAGGATTTTTCTTGTCCAAAGGATAAGATATGCACAGTGGCCACATGCTTATAAAAGAGCCATATATACACTCCATAGTTTTAGAAATGGGAAAAAAAAGGTCAGAATCAAAACTAACATGCAAACTTTGAATGGGGGTGTGGATGTATACTTCATCTGCATGCTTAATTGGTATAGTTACATGATCATGGTTTGAGTATATTGCTCGAAATCTCAATAAGCGCTGCTGCGGTACATATAACGAAGAGATCGATAACTTTGTTTCGAGATCGAGTGGCCAGACTCTTAATTAACAGCAAGGTTAATTGTGAAATTATTAATTTGTTGAAATTATAATTGCAGTCAAGTTCTAGTGAATGGCTAGAGATGAAGCATCTATGGGGAGCAAATTGGTGCATAATTGGGGGACCCCTCAGGGGTCCCTTCTCGGTGAAGCTCACCACGTTGTCCACGCAAAGGACTCTCTCCACAAAAGATGTGATCCCAAAGCATTGGTCTCCAAAAGCCACCTACACCTCTCGCCTCAACTTCGCATGATTTTGCCACACGCGCGCGAAGCTAATTAAATTAGCCCCTTGGAGTACTGCAAAGGCAATGCCAAGGCTCATTATATAAATTTGTATGACCTTCTGATATATATATCCTTTGTATTTGGAAGTTTGTACGTAATAGTTTGTAGTGAAGGGCTCAGTGATTTGTACGTTGTTGCCCTTGTAGGCTTGTAGCCCTCTCCTAAGAGGAGAGAGAGCGCCCTCTTAATTTGTCATTTAATTATGTGAGCTCTTTTGTGTTTGTGGTTTAAGTGATTGTTTAAAAAAATTAATAATGTTTGGAAAATCTTCAAGTTAGCTTTGAGAATTAATGACGATTTCTGGCTTGTTGTGACTTGTTTTTATATAGATGCCCGCTGCTTCACTGGTCCAATCTGATGATAATTGTGAACATGAGAAAGTATCCAGTGATCTCGGTTCAGATTTTAATTAATTAGTGACACGCTAGAGAAGTACAAAAGCCTCCAAGTGATCTACTAATTCAATGGTTAACAACCTCTCGAATCTTGACACCAGTAATGCAATGGATCCAGACCGCTTGATATTTTCTGAGGGATGGTTGAGGTTACACCATGAGAAGCCTCCAAACTAGTTATATGTTCTGGCCCTTGTAGCCCCTCTCTTAAGAGGAGAGAGAGCACTCACTTTGTCATTTATATTAGTTTTTTTTTTTGGAAAATGTTACTTTCAAAAATGTATGTTAATTTTTAAACTATATGTCATTTATGTTAGCATGGTTTGATCTTCTCATATCTCCGTGTTTGGAATTTTGCGTGCAGGGGTTGCAGCCAAAGGCTTAAAAATGTACACGTTGTTGCTCCCTTTGTCATTAACGTTGAGCTCTTCGTGAGGTCTCATCAACATTTATTGTATTAATTATTGTTTCGAGAAATTAAATTCTTTGCCATATATAAATGTAGTCTACGTCACGTGCTCGAGGCCTCTTGTCTTCTAACCCAATCGCATATATGCCGCATCAGCTGGTACCGTGTCAAGCACGAGCACATGACATGTTTTTTTCGATTTGTTGTAAAGTTAGGTGTGTATATGACCTTTTGCTCAATGAGAAATTAATGGAAACTTTAGCAATCTTATTGCAATTAATATAAGCATCTCTAAGACTAGGATTTTGGTATGATTGCTCGATACGAAACTTTTGCTTCTAAATTAGAGGTCACATGACTGATGCATGCAAGCACATGAGATTTTGGTATGCATGATTGCTCAATATGAAACTTTTGCTTCTAAGTTATTATGTATTGGCCCTGACTTCTATTTTCAACTCATCATTTTATCGTATCCTGTCCGATGCGGAATTATGGTTACGTATGAATGTTAGATCTAAAGAAGAACTTGAGATCTAAAACCATAAAGCCATGATTAATTCGAAGAGATTAATAATAATCATAAAGAGCTTCCAAGCTTATACCTGAATCCATAAATGAACCTGAGATGAGTTTTGGATCTTCTAACCTTAGGGTTTCTCTATAGCCGAATTTCTCCTTTAGATGGGGTGAAGAGAATTAGAGAATGTAACCCTAAATTAGGGACCATAGCCCCTTATTTATAGATGTTGTACATTTGCAATTTGGCCCCTCAACAAATCACAATTACAACCTGGTATCTGCACATATAACCCCATGACTTATTTAAATACTCATTAACTCAACTTGATTGATCACTTTAGTGGGTTATCCTAAAAGATAGCAATACACATTGATTAATCATATGTGCCCACAATTAGATTTATTAGATTAAATCCAACAATGAATCCTCAACAAAAATAAGTATAATCATCAGAAAGTTAGAGCAAGTGCAGCAAGCTCCCAGTTGGGAGTCCTAGTCAGCATACTCTTAAGAGCTCTCAAGCATTTTACAATAAAAAATTAACAAATTAAGCCTTGGGAGACACTCCTTCTTTTATGGAGCTCCAACAAGCTCCTAGTTAGGAGCTCCAACAATATCAAAAAAACCCCTCTTCTATTTTAATATTTTACCCATTACTTCAGTCTCATTTATTTCAATTATTTCAATGGTAAATAGCTTTTTTCCAAGTAATAATAACTACAACGCATAGATAACCATCCAATTAATTATTTCCTCAACCTTCGTCCTCAAAATTTCTGCCCTCTTGGTCACGAACTCAGGGGGGAAACCCCAAAATACGATTCTTCCGACAAGAACTCAGGGGGAAAAAACCCCAAATTTCTGCCCTTTTCGTCCCCAAAATTTCTGCCCTCTTCGTCACGAACTCAGGCGATCATCGGCAGTGAAATCATCGTCAGCGATCACGCGGGCAAAGGCAAGGAATCCGACGAGAGTTAGAAAAAGGCCGATTCTTCCTCCTCCTCTTCCTCCTCTTCAATCCAACGATCCTCCAGCCGAAACGCCTCCTCCAAATACGATTTCGTTAAGGTCAGTAGCGATTGGGAGCTCGGACGCTCTCAAGAGGCACGTCAGCCTTGAGAGTGGGGCTTGGGAGGGTTTGGGAGCTTGCTGGAGGGGGGGAAGAAGTTTTCCATGGCCACGTCAGCCTTGAGAGCTCTGAAGAGAGCTTGCTGCCCTTGCTCTTATAATGATAGTGATCTCTCTGTTATCACATAAGAAATTGAAAGGATCCAATTTCTCTTTGAAGAGGTTAGACATGAAAATTCGATCCCATGCGCACTTTATAAAAAGGGCGACGGACCCTTGTTGCACGTGAGGAAGACAGGCAATGATTCTAAGTTCAACAATGTAAGGCAGCAATAAAAAAAAAAGATCACGTAGAGGATGATCTAAAGAAATTATACGGACAGCAAAAAAAAACTTACACGTGACACAACATGTACTTTCAAAATCGAAATTGTATGACGGAGAGTTATACTATTCTGAAAAAAAAACATTTTCTTGTACTTTCAAAACATTTACTGGATAATGTGATGAGGTGAAGGGGTAAATTTATAGTGTAGAGATGAAAAAAAAAAAAAGATTATGTGAAAGAAAAATGAGAGGATGGCGAATAAATTGTGGTTACTGAATTGATAGTGAAATGCGAAGTATTACTGTATATGATCCAAAGTTCACAGCAATTTGACTTGAAACGCGACAGTTTGTTGAAAACCTTATGAAACGATTAGCTATTCAATAGTGAATGTGGATCTCTAATTTTAAAAATAATATTAAATGGACAATAGAACATATTAAAGTTCACATTATGTATATATTGTTGCGCGCCGTGCGTGCGGAAGCGTGCTCGACAACCAAACGAGTCCGCGAGCGACGAGAGAAGAGAACCAAACCAAATACGAGTGCAATTCACCAAAATACGGCACAAATCAAACCAAACACAAATATTTACATGGTTCGGTAATTGCCTACGTCCACGGGGAGAGGATGATGAGACTTCACTATATGGAGGAGAAATACGATGAGTTACAACTCACAAAATCACTCAAATATAGCCCTAACCAAAGTTCTCAACTCCCTCACAATATCTTCCTCTCAAAGTGCTACAAAGACTCAATAATCTCTTGTTTAGAAACCCTAAAAATCGTGTTTGTATTTTAAACAAACACGCAATCCAAAACCGCCTAGGAATTCTGAATCAGACCATAACCGCTATCGGTTGACCGCACCCATTGCATCGGTCGACCGGACAGACACATGAAAACTGCACCCCGTAATGTGCACGAGATCGGTCGACCGGTCACACCTCATCGGTCGACCGACCCAAACTCCTGTAAAATCCTGTTCTCTGTCGATTGCATTGATCGACTGGTCTTGCTCCTTCGGTCGACCGATCTGAGGATTCCTGTAGTCCTGATTTTCGTTGCGTTTTCTACAATTTTTCCACCTCGGCAAAATTTTCTCAAAACTGAGCCGACACCAAACATGAGCACCACTACGTCATCTCATCAAATCCAGCTGCACCAATATGGTTGCCTACGTACCCCCTCTTCCAAGGGATCAAGTCGCTCGTAGTTCATCCAAATGGTTGCGAACGGCCTCAACAATCACGAATTTATAATAAGTTTCTACAATGATCGAACTTATTGCTCGGAACCACCTTTGTGAGCATATCCGTTGGATTGTCTTTTGTGTGGACCTTCATGAGTTCCACATCCCTATCGTCAAGAACATCTCGGACAAAGTGATAACGAACGACGATATGCTTCGTCCTAGTATGAAAGATCATATTCTTCGCCAAATAAATAGCACTCATGCTATCACAATAAATGGTGACAGATCGCTGCAAAACACCAAGATCCTTCAAAAGTCCTTGAAGCCAAATTGCCTCCTTAATAGCCTTCATAATCGCCATATACTCTGCTTCCGTCGTCGACAAAGCCATCATAGACTATAATATGCATCTCCAATTCATTGGCACACGGGTCAAAGTGAATAGATACCCCGTCGTCGACCGACGTTTATCCAAATCTCTAGCGTAGTCCGAATCTATGTATCCAATACATAGCTGCCCACCGCTAGTGTCCCGCTCAAAAACCAAACCAACGTTGAGAGTACCTCGAATGTACCTCAAAATCCATCTTACGGCATCCCAATGACCTGGACCAGGGTCGTGCATGTATCTTAAAACCATGTTCACTGGCTATGATAAATCCGGCCTCATACAAACCATAGCGTACATCAAACTTCCAACTACGCTCGCATATGGAGCATTCGACATCAACTCTCTATCTTTAATTATCTTCGGTGAAAGATTAGCTAAAAGTTTCAAATAAGTTTCCAATGGTACACTAACTGGCTTCGTCTCCATCTCTCATTGAACCGCTGTAGAACCTTCTTCAAATAAGAAACACGTATCAAATAAATTCTACCATTGTCTTTGTCTCTGCCGATCTCCATTCCTAAGATGCGCTTCGCTTCACATAAATCCTTCATCTCAAATTCACTCAAAAGCTGAATCTTCAATCTATCTATTGGGGATCTGGAAGTAGAAGCAACCAACATGTCATCTATATAAAGTAATAAGTAAATGTACGCACCTCCATTTAACTCGAGATAGTACACAAAAGGATCAAATTGTCTCCTAATGTACGAATGGTCGATTATGAACCCATCAAATCGCTTATATCACTGTCTCAGAGATTGCTTCAAACTGTATAGCGATTTCTTCAACCTATAAACCAATTTCTCCTTCCTTGCAGCTCGGAACCCTAAAGGCTGAGTCATATAGATTTCCTTATCAAGATCACCATGAAGAAATACCGTTTTCACATCCAATTGATCTAATTCCAAACTATACTGTGCCACCAAACCAAGAAAAATTCGAATCGAAGAATGCTTCACCACCG